TGGAACGCTTTGAGTCGAAATGATCGACTTCCACGTGGATAAATACTAATTTAACGGTACGATAATAATTGGCGGGAATTTTGAATATTAACTGAAAGACGAGCGAACTTCAAACACGTTGCGTATACGAGCATGGCCTACCGTGACCTCTATAGATAATTAGCGAGTGCAGGGGTCGATAGTGGCTGTCAAAAATAATGGCGTTGAAAAATATTTTTCATATAAAAGATAACTAATTATCGACTGACGAGATCATCGACGTTGAACCTGAATGATATGTTTGCGGAAACGCAATCGAACGCGACCACGTTATTCGATGCATTCACATTGGTGGGTTGTCGCGCAATTAAATTCTCAATATGTAATAATGTATAAAATCTCAATGTATAAAGCTTCATTCACACTGAACGATTACGATTATATATTGTCACCTGGTTTTTCGACTCACGGTCAAAACGCGACTCCAGCTACCGATTCGGATCACGTTCTCGCTTTCTGGTTCCCTTCGATTCGCCATTCTGATCAGAAGCTGGAACGATCAGTTCCCGAATTCGACTATTGTAAAAGTCAGTCTATGCCTTGGACTTCCATAACTGAATATATATATATATATATATATATTCATGTACGAACTAAGAAAAATCTGTGACGCTTTAATGACTATCGGTTGAATGCACCTGATAACGCCGCATCTGTTCGTTCGTTAATTAATGCCTAGCACGTATAATTTAATTAGCCTCATTAATCGTAGATACCATTTGTTTTCATATACATATATATATATATATATATACTTATATAGATACTCTACATGTAAACATCGATCACTATGGTTTTCACGACGTGCGAATTGCAAAATAATTTATTGACGCAATTTCGTAACGAGCGAAATCCTTTGTTCGATTTTTTTTTCATTAAATAATAAAGAGTTAAGTAAACAAAGAAAATAAGAGCACGTGCAATACGTTTTATGTAGAATATTGAATTCTTGGAATTCTCAAACCGATTACCAGTCGATCCATGGGGCAGTGAATCATGGCCGACCGAACGAATGACCGTTTATCATAAACTCGTTACTCGTTGAGTTTTCATTGCGCGTTATAATTCGTCATTATGGAAATTGCCATTATCGTCGTTATACAATAAAAATGATTTTTCATCGTTAAAAAATTTCACTTGTTTCCAACGTCCATATTTACAATGTTATAAAATTTCTAATTTTTTTTTTTTACAAAATTTGTTATCAATTTCTTAATTCAATTACAGTAGCCGAATGTACACGGAAATTGATAATCGGATTATCGGTGCAGCGAAACTCCCCGGGGCATTAAGGATCGGTTCTGCTCTGATTAAGATTTTCTAGTAAACCCGGAGGCACGCGCCCGCGCCTATACGTGACTCATTTTGAAGTCACGGTGAGTTACGACGAATCGCCTATATGCAGGCAGCACATCTTTATAGAGTAGGTCCTGCGCGTATGTGATTCGTGCGGTAGATTAATACGTATACAGTCACTAGCACCATTTTTAGACGGGATAGATCGATCGTGGGATTATAAAAAAAAAAATTATTATAAAAAAATTCATTTTTTAAAAATCAAAAAAATATAAATTCAAGAGGTTGGGCATGGATAATTTTTAACTACCGATACTTCCCATGCTTGGATATGGTCAGGTCCGGTGTGTCTGGCGAATGATTATGTGCAAAACGAAAAATTCGAGAGACTCACGATGAGACTCTGCGATTAGATAACCCTTATCAATAAATCGAGGTCCTTGGCCCTCAGATACAAAAGGAGCGTCGATCTCCGTGAGCGTGATAATATTCGCGCAATCGAACGAATTATCGCGAGCGATGTGAATTTAGTTGCTCAGCGAGGAGCACGTGCGGCGACCTTTCGCGGAGTAGGATATTATCGCGGATTGTGAACGCGCACGCGCGACAGATAGCCGAGCGACCGTCTCGCATAATGATGTTCTTTCATTTGAATTCCATCTGGAGGGTCAATGATGTTTTTTTTTAATCATCCTCGGACACCATTTGTTTTTCTCATTTCTCATAGTTATTTCTTGTGAATCCGGCATTACGTTCGGCGACAACGAAACGCCTGCTCGATAATCGCAGCTCGAAGTCGAATCGCTTTCTTGACTCATCGTTAAGAGGAGTTAACGAATGAACAAGGACGAGTAGTTAACGAGAAATTAAATGAGCGTGAAAAAAATTACACGTTAATTATATCGATGGTGAAAAGTTTGAAAATTTTTTTTAATTATTCCTTAACCACGTGATTTTTACCTTTTTTTTCATTTGACATTAAATAACGTACAGCTCGCTGAATAAAATTGCAAGATCGTTCACGAACCACGTGGAAATGAAATATAAAGATATGCATGCACTCCTTTTTTTTTTTTTTTTTGCATAAAACATAAAACCGTCGTAATAAAATTTTCCAAAGACACCAAGCTGTACCCTTCCTTATAAATTTCCTGGATCGTCAATCACTTTAATTTAATCCACGTGCCATTTCGAGCGAATCGATCGTCGCGCTTACGAATCGTCTTGAGATAATTAGACGGCCTTATTCGTCGCTATGAAAATCACTGTAAATACTACATATAGGGTGGAATCAGAAACTAAAGCATCGCTCGGTTCTACCATGTAAATCAAACGGACAGGCTAATTTCGGGCAGTGGGCGTTATTCCTGACACTCCTGTATATACATATACATTTAATACCCAAAAGTAATAATACCAAAGAATTCTCACCGATGAAAACTTGACGCTGAAGAATTCACAGTATTTCACGAAAAATTTCATTGTCATTCTAATAAAAAAAATTTTCGTCGACGCCACGTCAAATTATCGTCGCTAAGGACGAACGGTATTTCGCGTGCCGAAATAAGATTGGCAGTGAAGGATATAAAAAAAAAAAGTGCGAGAAACAAGGTAAAGAAAAAAAATCTGAAAATACGTAATAAAAAAAAGAGACACTGATGGGAGAAAGAAAAAAAAAATTTATATAAAAAATCAAATTTCCCGCCACTGTACGGAGCTTCGTACGAAAACCGAGAGATGGCGAATTTGGACAATAATCGACAATTCGTTTCACTGCTTATCTCCTGCGTATATCCTTTTATCTCCTATGTATATTCCTGCGCTTTCTCTCGTATCAGCTGTTGATCGATCGATCTGCGATCTATCGGATTTCCCAATGGGGGACTACTGGTGCTCCATTGTTACAGTACTGCAACGACGAACGGACGAATTCCGACTAAGTAAACGTGCGACCGTTCGGTGACAGCTGATTGGCCGAGTAACATTGCGTTACGCAAACAGCCTTTGTTTCGCGACTCTCGCGAGCTAAAGCTAATGTGAATCGTCGACTTGGATGTGCACGCATTCCCGTGCGTGCCACATACCGCCCCATTACGCAATTTCGCTCGCGAGTGCGTACTGCGTCGCTTCGGTGAGAACAAAAGAGTCACTTTGTACAACACGGACGTGAAATATCATATTGGTGAACGCAGAGTGGCTGGAAGGTGCTGTGGGTAAAGCATAAGAAAAAAAATATGTAATATTTATAAATATATAATAATAATAATTTATTAAAATTATTTTTATTATATTTTATTAATTATTTTTCCCGTCTACGTCATTGTAAATTTGCTTCCTATCGATTTATCCCAAGCACGTGTAACCAGCCTTTATTGACTGTATAGCTCCGCTTAGGTTGAACCCAATAGATTTTTATACGGCTACAATTGCGCTTAAGGGTTTTATATGAATTCAGTAAGTTCCGCGTGCGTTGCGTAACGCACGGAAATGCAAGCCAACGAGCGATATAGGTCTCAGCCCTGTGCCAGAAACGAAAATATCATGCGAAACCGCGAGCGAAAATACCGAATCAAGTCGGCCAGGAGCGTAGAGCGTTAAGCGCAGGTCGTTGATCCTAGGTGGATCGGAGTCGAGGTGTTTGGCGGGAAATTTTTGGAATTTTTGAAATTCATTTTTTTTCACTTTTTCTTTTTTTTTTAAAACACCGCGCGACGACCGATGACAAATTACACGTGTGTGTTATACCTTCTATTGACATCGTGTTTGACATAAGGAACTCGTACAATACTTAAGAAGCTGTAATTGAGTTATATGTTTTATCTATACTGCTCAACAGTGGCGAGGGGTATCCCCCTTTTCTGTGTACACCACTGCCGTGCTACTGGATAACAGTTTTAACCGTGAAACCATACGTGAACCGAAACGCGTATAGTCTGTTCGACGTTACTGCTAAGCCACTTCCGCTTATTTTTTTTTAAACATTTTTACGTATTTTTTAAAAATATTTCCTCGTAGCTTTATCAACCCTGTAGATTATTTTGCTGTCAACGACTGAAATTTTGGTTGCCATGGAGATTCCGAGGATTTATTTTTTAATATATCTGACAGGTCTTATTGAAAACTTTTGACGGCGTGACGTTTCTATGTATATTTATGACGCGGTTGAATCAATTTGAAGTGACAGCCGATAAAAATATTATTATCCGAACAGATTTATTTAATACTTTTGGCTGTGACTGTATTTCGGAGTTTTACAACTGAGCATATATGTATATACTATGTTCGTGTAATTTTTCCGATAACAGGTGCTCTCTCGCTTCTACCTAGTAAAGATTAAAATGACTTTTCGAATTTTTGCATCGTCCCGTGATTTTCGCATGTGTTTCCTTTTTTTCATTCTTTTTTTCTCTCGCAAAACCCGTTTGTCCGCGATCGCCGATACCAATCGCAAAGCCACCGGGATCCTTTTTGCATGCTTTGTGGCCACTTCCAGGTATGTGCATGCTGCGTGGAGTCATATGTGAAACTGGAGGAGTCAATAATTTTTTTTTTTAATTTTGGAAATATCCGATTATAGTTTTTATACTTTTAAGGTGAAAATCGATTGCGTTCAGGCATACAGACGTATTATGGCGTCGCGATGCGTATTTACCTGGTATTCCATTCTTCATACATTTTTTGCATGTGTTATTCCTGGACGTTTATACAGCGTGGAAAAATATTGATGCAAAAACGCTCCGTTAGTAGATTCGCAAAATTGTCTGTGATATGAAAAAAAAAAATTTTCACGTTCCTTCACCGTCCCTTGAAACCCGTAAAAACAGAGTTTCCTAATTTATCGCGAAAACAGTTTAAAACTTGTTTTGGCTGGTTCCCCGGCGAGAGTATACAAAAATAGTCAAGGTGGAATGGCAGATGTAAGATTTTGAAATACCTAACCATTGTTTTTTTCAAAGCGCACGCCATTAAGACCTTTGGCAAGACAACGGTGAACATGGTAACGAGATTCTAGATTTCCCAATACGTAAGGTAATTAATCCAAAAAAAATTGACCCCCAAAAAATAATCTGTATCCATGATAAATTTTTACGTTAATTTCCAAACAACGATTAATCGATATAAAAAAAAAAAACGAAAATTAAAAATCAGAAGTAGCATACTAAAAAAAAAACAAGCATACAAAATAATAATAATTACCAAAATATCCTGCAGCGACACCGGCATCAGGGAGCACATGGACATTTTACCACATAAATGAAATCCACCGGCTCGAAAGTAGAAACCGAATAAAAAAAATTGAAAAACCTCAAGATCTTACGGAAATTTCACAAAAGTTCTCCGTGTCCACTTCACATTTCGAAAATACCCCCGATAACCGTAGAAAGGACAAATCTATAAATAAAAAAAGATTTTCTCATTCCAAATGAATTCCTTCAATCCCCCATAAATCCAGCGGAAATCGAGTCGAGAGATTGAAAATAAAATTAAAAAAGAAAAAAAAATAATATTAACAAAAAATAAAATAAAAGACTTCACAAATCCTGAAAAATCACCAGTAGCCACGAGGGCAACGCGACTGTTGACATTCGTAAAGTCGAATCCACACTGTCCCATCCAGATTGTACAGAGAGACTCTTGGCAGAGGAGAATTCCCTATATTAAATTAACCTACAGTCCGGCTATAGTCCGTCGGCGATATAATCGAATATCGTTGCAAAACGACTAAAGCCTGCTCCGCACAAGAGCGACTCGCGTCCCGTTCACAATTAAGCGATACGAAACGCGAAACGAGTTCTGCCCCAAATAGTCGTTTCATCGTTTCGTTTCGAGTCGGTAGATAATTCCTCCCCCCCCCACCCACCTCCCTCTCCCACCCCCTTTCTTTCGCGTAGATAAGCAGGTATAAGGTAGGTCGTTACCAACTTGCTACGTTGCTAATTTCCGGTCTACACGTGTACGCACTATATAGGTATACTAGACAAAGCTTAAAGGCACCAAAGAAATCGTGTTAAACGTGTAACTTTAAAGGAAAATCGATTTTCTCGAAGAGTTCATTAAAGCTCCGTTCACGGAAAATTCTTTAGGGCCTTATAAACGTTACTCGTACGATCCAATAAATCAATTTGGGTGAATCACCCTGTACTTACTACAATCAAACGCGAGAGATAAAATAAACTTTGTATAAAGACACGAAATGTTATTGTTTTTATATATTTGGCGTTTATTAATTGAAATTTTCATTTATTCCATCCAATTGTCACTATACTGTTATTACTTTAGTCTACTGAACGCCCCATTTTTATTTTCGATCAAACGCCAGAAACGTTTCACGCGATCGAATTTCTTTGGAGATAATAATAATATTAGGGGATGTACTTTCTGAGGAATTTTTTTCACTATGGGTACACACACACACATATATATATATATATATATATATATATACGGCAGACAGTGCGTTTGCGCGAATGTAAATAAATGGCAAAGAGACGAATTTAGAAACTTATAGCCCGAAAAGCCATAGAAATTGAAACGCTTGGTATTTGGTTAAATATCGTATGTCGACCTATATATCTCAGAGCTATGGGTTCCCTAGTCTTCCCTAGTGTATATATATATATATAACATCTGATTATACTTCCATAGAATATTCCTACATCAAGTGTAAGAAGGTCCCTTTTCAGTCCCAAGAGTAATTCGATACTGGCTCGAGGCCAGCGACAGCTCAGACCGGAAAATAGCACAGAGTTTAAGTCCTCGAGATCGAGAAGGAGGCGACAGAGGAAGATTGTGGGCTGCTATACAGGGCAGCGACAGTCGCATGCAGCAGCGAAGAGACAGTCCCGTGTGAGTCAGCCCAAAGGATTGAGACACGTGAGGATGGAATTAGAAAGAAAGAGAAAAAGGGTAAAAAGAAAAACCAAAGACTCAATCCCTGAAGTACAAAAAAACTGTAGTCGGTAAAAAAAAAATTAAAAAAAATTTTCACTTTTTTCAAATAAACCTTTTTCCATTCCTTTATCTTTTTATAAAAAAAAATGTCACTCTACAAGTATCCAAAAATTCTCGACTCGATTTCACGTGCCACTTTTTTATTTTTTTTTTTTCCTTGTCTCGGCAAAACTTCAACCCGCTTGAACTTTTCACTAGACTCCTCGCAAACCCACCTCGAGCTTCTCGCGACGGTTAATGGGCACTTTGCGAAGTGGCAAACTCGCGAAATGGCACTTTCGCCAAAGTCTTGAGCGTTATGCCGAGAAGCGTCTGTCGGTGAGGATGGTCGGGCAGCCACTGGTTGCGATGCGTGTGCGCTAATATAAGCAACGGTTATACGTCCGAGTGCGTGAAGGAGCGCGTACATGTGGGTACGGTCAAATATTACATTAGCGAGCGTCGTCGGGACGCTGAGCGTCGGAGAGGGGAGGGGGGGGGATTGGCGTTCAGTATAATTTATAATTCGATCCTCGTTGGAATTCCATTGTCTTCTTCGAAGCACGTTCCTATTACAATTTATCGTAAAGTATTTAAATAGACAACTAAAAGTATTTAAATTTCAATTAAAAAGAATTTTTGAAAAATTTTTTTGAAAAATTTTTTTGAAAATTTTTTTTGAAATTTTTCATATGCTGCATTGTATCACGATACTATTGTACACGTGTCCATGATTCTTTACCCTTGTTTGATTCGATTAGATTTTTTTCTTTTAATGGCGCTTATCAATGGATTATGACGTGGCAGAGATAATAAATTTTTTTGCGTTAGTAGATATATCTATATATTACTCATTGTACGAATTAGCGGGAAACTTCGCATACTTGATTTTGCAATCTCGTAAGATTTGCGAACAATGTCCATTCTAAACTATGTACAGTGCCGTTTATGCATCTATTGGTACAAGATGGAGCTCGGTGTACGCGCGCTGTTATTTGCAAATAATAATTGCAAATATTGCGGGCACGAGTCGCGAATTATTCATTCGCCGCGTAATGGCGCGTAAGGTGCAATCATATTTGCAAGTAAACAATTTCGCTCAATACATCCGTCCGGCGCGAGTATGGACGTTCGATTCGTTCCTTTTTCATTTGCAAATTTTATTTCCGTACAAGATTTCGCGTCAAGGACATTGGATGGTTTAGCCATGTGAAAAATCTTGTTTCAATGTACATTCCTGTCGACGGGTTCGAGTTTCTTTTATGTATTTTGCAAATAAGCACGTGTTTTTGATAATTTCTTAAAAGCGAAAAAAAATTGTTTTTTTTCAAAATTTGTAAATTTACTCGTTTCGCTTAACCAGATTACGCAAATGCGATTTGGAATGTGACGCGGTCAATTTTTTTTGCAAGCGAAGGCTCTTCGTATTGACACTCCTGATAGTTATCGGTATCGTTTACCGATAAGAATTGCAACTGACACGCGTGACCTCGGGATCGATTAGCGCGGCATTCGATAACTAGAGCCCTTATCTGTAACGCAGCTTTATTTTAGTACAGTCGACAACAACAAATCTTTTTTTTCTTCGCTCAAGAACATTTATTCATGAATTGAAAAATGAGACTCATGAAAATAAAAAAAATTTTTTTTTTCAAATTACATTCGTTTACATCACACCCTGTATATTAATCGTACTGCATATCGGGCGTATACTAAATTTAGCTTCGAACTAGGAATTTGTAAGCGACTGTACTCCGCACGTAGGACTGAACAATTGACACAAGTTTAAGTAAGCCACGTGCGTAATACCACGAGGATGACCTCGCTGGGATATTGAGAAAAAGTCACGTGGTCACGGATTAGCTCGTGAGAGCTTATCAATCAAAAAAAAATTTCATAGTAAAAAATGAAAATTTTAACGTCACGTGGTGCCCCCCTTCCTTAATCGTTACTTTTGGTATCCACTGACATTTAGGCTCGGTTCACACGCGAAAAAACCAGGTGGCTTCTTGAGATTCGTTGAAAGCAGACATAAACCTACTTTCGATATTCGTTATTTATACATATTACATATATCGCGTCACGCGACAGATTCCGATTTTCAATTTCGACTAAATTCCCCATTTTGCCATCGATCGTTAAAAGTGAATTTATTAATTTAAAATTTATTCATATATTCAACGCGAACAGTGTGGTGCGCTGCTCGACGTTTCAGTATATTAGGTAAAGTACCTGTCGGTCCAGGGATGAAATTTTTTTCAATTTTAAAAAATTCAAATTTTCCAAAAAAAAAAAAACTTATAACGCGAACCTGGGTGTCTCGTATGAAATAGGAAATGTCATCCAAGCGACGTACACAGAGCGCGTATAAATATTAGTCACGTGCAAATGAATTTCAACCAGTCTATAATCCGCATTGCGTGATGCATTTCGTTGCAGTTTTTTTTCTTTTTTTTTTTTTTTAACAAATATCAATTTACATGCAAAACGTCTCCGATATAGAAATTAATAAATTAATACCGACTGAGAATGATAAATGTTTAAACCTGCGAATATATTTCTGCATACGTATATACGTACACGTTGTGTATATATATATATATATATATACGTATATCTGTATACGTTGATATTCGTTAGCCCATTAGCGCACGCGCGCATTGGCCACACTTTTCCAAGCCAAAATTAAATTCAACCACCATTCGAATGGCCGTGTAATAAAGTTCCGCCGAATTTACCGTCTTAATCGGCGCATGCGCGTTAAAGTGATTCGGACCAATGAAAACGCAGTATTTCTTTTTCTCGAGCCTCCTTCTTCCTCTCTACGTACTTCGTGCTCTGTGGCCCCCTCTTTTTTTTTTTTTTTTTAATACAACACTATTTCCCAACACTCGGAATTTTCAAGGCTCGTCATTGTCGCCGGTTGAGAACGGGATTTGAAATATATTTTTTAATTATTAATTAATTCCGAGGGCGGTCGATCGTCTCTGGCTTACGAAGTGTCATCTTCATCTTCGAGTATCTCGTTAGAAGGTAGGAAACTCAGAGCCAAGTGGCTTCATGCAATGCATTCGACTAGCGGCTGATATACGTACTACGTATTATATATAACTCTATATATATATATATATATATATATATATATAAATAACACATTTTATCGTGATAAATGATGCTAATTAAAATACTACATGAAAGTACATGAATTTCAAAAAAATAAAAAATAAAAATGAGTATGCCTGCACCTATCTCACTATCTATTTGATTAATCGTGTTCCCAGAGACATTGAGGTCATATTCGGTGTGTCTGATCAGAATTACATCTAACCTAGAATAAAGTCCCTCGCATTCGCGGAAAATGGCTAATTTTTTTTTTTATTTGCCTCACCATAATTATACCTCTACATGTTATTATTGTCTTCTACGTGGTCCTCGAGTGTTACTGTTAATTACGTCTGGACGAGAATTGCGATGCGTCGTAGCATAATTAATAGCGACACTGATTGTATTACGTTTAGCATATACTACGTGGTGACTACGTTAATATATATATTCATGGTATCAACGTATACAGACATATCAACATACCAACGTATCTCGTCCAATAAAATTCCGATACAGCTGCATGTATAAAATATTGCAAATTATGTAAAACTATTTCTTCAATGCATATATATATATATATAATATCGAGTGAACCTGAGGGAAACTGGATAAAAATAATAATAATAATAATAAAAGAGCAAAAATATATCTCTCGGCCTTTCGCACGAAAGAAACTCATTGATTTCCAGTGTGTCTGGCGTAATGGCCGGATGTGTCCTTCGGCGTAAGGAAATAAGATAAAAGAAAAAGTAGAAAGGAGCACAAGAGAAAAAAGGATTGAAAGGCCGTCATTATGTTTTTCGCTCATTTTCTTCCTAAGTAACGAACCGGCTGCCACCTATCGGGGAATCAAAGAACCGTTATGAAAAAAAAAAAAAAAATATTCAAACACATCCACATATGATCCCACATACGAGCATTCTAATACGTTTTGTAATGCATGTATAAAATTTCATCATAGTGCATATATCAAACACAGCATACATACATCCCACATATGTGACTCGTATGAAGAAGAGTGCGGGAGCGAGGGGGG